TTCTTGTATAGAATCGATAAATAATAGCATTTCTGTTTTTATCTCGTCTATAATTATAAATTATTGTTAATTTAAAAAAAAGTACATGAAGTCAATTTAATTACGAGTATTAAAGCAACAAAAATAAAAGAGTAGGTGGTCCTGTGGTAGCGTTCTTGCCTTCCACACTGGAAGACTCGAGTTCCGATTCTCGGATGGAGAAAAATGATATGAACTTTTTTCCTTTTTTTTTTTTCGTTTATTTTATTTTAAAAATTATTAAAAGTTATAAATTATTTTAAAATTAGTTATTTTGTCTTAATAACCTAAATTTTTTTTTTTATTGGTAAATTTTCGTTAGTGGGTCGTAGAAAAAAGATACTGTACAATTCGAGTGGATTGTCCACATCACATTCAGACGGTTGATCACTCCGCCTACTGCTACTTGCATACATTCAAGTCGAAATCAGTACTAAAACTGTTAAATACTTTTATTTTATTTCACACTAGTTGGTTGTACAGAAATGTTCACCTTTTCTTGTTGTATGGACCACTTGTCTTTTTAATTACGAACCAGGTTTTAATGCCTTATAAATATGAAGTGTTCATATTTTTTGTGTAGTTTTGAATACAGGCATTGACTCCACCTTGAAAATGTTCGGGGTCATCTTTAAGGTTTTCTCTTACTTTGTTATCTAGATCAGTAGAACTTCTCCAATAACTCAATAATTCTGTAGTTGCATAGTCAATATTTTTATCATCACTTAACTTTGTTGTATCGCTTGTCTCAAAATCAGTATCACTTGTATATTATCTACTACTTTACCTATACCTATAATAAGATTTGAGTAACTATTAATTTCATTTTTAATTGACAGACCAAATAGAACATTTCATAATTATCTGTTTAATAAAACTACTTTTTAAACATACAAAAAAAAATTAAAGATATTTTATTAAGTTATACGTATGAGTACAAATGAGACATTCAGTTTCAAAACTAAATGAATCAATTTTATAAAATTAGTTAGTGGTGACGCTGATTTACCGTATTTGTTATCCTACAGTAGTCACAAAACTATGTCAATACATTTCACAATTCTACACCCAATTATAAAATTTGGCATGACAACTTTTTATATAAATTGCAATATTATTGTCAATACGTTATGTATGTTTACCACAACATTTAGAGTTCCCTAAATCTTCAGTTTAAATATGTAACGTCTAATCCTTTGACAGTCCCCCTTCTAAACTGGTTGTTTATATAACGCGATAAAAGCTGAGCGCGGCATTCTCATCTGTCGAAAGCTTTTCGCTCAAAATGCACACAAGAATTTTTCTACGATCACATTATTTTAAGAAAAAGATATAAAAACTAAAAATTTGTTGTAAGTAGTGTATAATGTGTTGCCTATATCTAAGTTAATTATGAAAAACGGAATTGATATTCAAAATCAATGTTAACTTGGATAATAAAACATCAAACAACGTACAAATAACTTGAAAATAATTTATTAAAAAGAAATATTATTGTAGTATATCTAATTTAAATTAGGCGAACAACAATGCTGTCAAGTTTTCCGCTCGGCGAGCGACAAAGCTGTCACTTAATGTCAGTTCGCGGAAAACGTCAACTTTGAGGTTGTATCTCGAAGCGCAAAAGCCTACTTTGGATAGTGATCGTAGAAAAATGTATTTTTTAACATATTACAGTAGTAAATTAATAAACAATAGATAGGTTTTTAACAGAGTGATTATAGTGAATTTTATACAGAAACTTAGCATCAAATTCATGAACTGTCAATTTAAGCACATTGTTGTTGTTGTTGTTGTTGTTGTTGTTGTTGTTGTTGTTGTTGTTGTTGTTGTTATTGAAATACATCCAACGTATTTCGCTGTGGTATGCCAAACCAATATCAATCAACTAATAAATTAGTAATTAAATAATTAAAGTAAATATAAAAATAATCCAGCTCCACCCCTGCCCTAAATTAATTTAAAAATTCTGGTATTAATAAATCAATATAGGTATATCCAGCTCTCTCTCTCTTTCTCTCTCTCTCTCTCTCTCTCTCTCTCTCTCTCTCTCTCTCTCTCTCTCTCTCTCTCTCTCTCTCTCTCTCTCTCTCTCTCTCTCTCTCTCTCTCTCTCTCTCTCTCTCTCTCTCTCTCTCTCTCTCTCTCTCTCTCTCTCTCTCTCTCTCTCTCTCTCTCTCTCTCTCTCTCGCATGTATAATCTACGAACGATTTGTTCTGACGACTGTTGGAAGGCATATATGTATAAAAACGCTAAATGACGGAATTTAGGTAGAGGCGTCGCTTCTTCTCAAAACCAAAGAACCTTATGTAATACTTGAGGCATTTATGTCACGCTCTTAACACGAGGATTAACACTAAACTGGCGTTAAATTAGATTTATAAAAAGATAAAATTGTGCATATTTGTTTAATGTATTATAAAAAAAATAATTTTATGTATAGTTGTCTTCTTTATTGTATATAAGATATTTGGAAATGAAAACAACTTATTATTGTTTTTCAGATATGGATCATTTTGGTTTTTTAATTGGAACGCTGCAGTCGATTTAATTTAATGAAATGGGCATTAGCGGAATCTATAAACTATCAAACTTACAGTAACCTTTGTACCACTGGGACCGATAGCTCGCTGAGCCTTAATTTACCTAGGCAGAAATTTATTGGAAATTTATTTGAAACTGATTCAACTAGAATCTAAAACTGAGTAGGTAAATCGTTTATGGAGAAATGCGTTCTTCCGACGGAAATTCGCTTTTATTTTTCTCAAACGAGCACCGCGTTGAAAACGAGATAAACATTTTCTCCGGATAAGTAATATTGTAAAATCGTGAAAGAATTCGCAATGGATAAGTACGTGACATCGCATAAAGATACCTCTTATATCGAATAAAATAAACGTTTATAATAACTTGATAATGAATAATTATTAAAACAATACATTTTCAACTAGTGATCGATTTGTTATTGGAAAAATACCTCGAATTTGTCATGTTTATAAAATCTTGATCGATTTCCTGGCGAGAGCAATTTTGAATCGCTAATAAAAATCCTAAATATCTTTCTACACAATGAAATTTAAATTTAATAGATCCTTCTATGAATTAATGATAAGTATAATAGGTTATTGTTATACTGTGTCTAAATTAAAAACCCTTATGGATTTTTTTTAACCTTGTCATGTTTTATTGTGTACCGTTTAAATATATGTATAATGTTCGTCAAAATAAATGGGAGTGTCACTCCTACATGGCTGCTTTGTTTAAAGACGGAGTATCCATCGGATGTCTCGATTTTATCTACTATATATACTGTTTAAAAAACCAGGAGATGAGATTTGAATTTAAGTTGGCAATTCTGTAGACTTTTGATTGGTCACATTGCAGTCAGTTTCACATATCACTTTTTAGCATTCACATCAGCTGATAATTGACATTGTTGACAGTTCTGACATTTTAAAAACGGTGTCCACTTTTACACCTAAATCGGCAACATATAGATGCACATAATTTGTATTATATGTAGTCGATGAAATGGGAAAAAGGCCAATAAACTTGTGTTGCGGCTGTCCCTATACCACTACGAGTTAAATCCCATAGAATTGACGTGGGCACAAATACAAATAAAAAATAAGGTAGCTGCTAAAAACAACTTTTAAATTAGCAAATGTGAAAGGCCTTTTATAAAAGCTATTGAAAATTTAACGCCTACAAATTGGCATAAATGTGTACCATATGAAATTAATAAAAATGCGCTGGATGGAATAATGGATGACATGATAGAGCCATTAATAATAATGCCAACACTGGAAGATCAGATTGTGTCATTTAAAAACGTCTGTTACTTTCTGGACAGCCCTGGTAGTAAAAAACCGGCCATGTCGGACTCGCGCACGAACAAAAAGGCAAGAAACACGTTTCTAGTAGCCCCCTTTAATTTTTAATTTATTTTTATTTTAATAATTTGTTGTTATAGCGGCAACAAAAATACACATTATGTGAAAATTTTAACTTTCTACCTATTACGGATCCTGAGATACAGCCCGCTGACAAACAGATAGACGGACGGACAGCCGAGGCTTAGTAATAGGGTCCCGTTGGTTACCCTTCAGGTACGGAACCCTAAAAATTACTAAAAATCTGCCGACATGCTTCTGCAATGAAAGAGGTGGTGTTGACATTTTAGTCTAGAACTACAATTATCACGTAAATGAGTATGCTGGCGTTATCTGTGAGCATATTAAAGAACCATGCGGGTAAACGCAACATTAAGTACGAATGATCTTATTCTTACTGGAAAAAATGCAAACAACGCCTGACGAAAAATGTTGCCAAAGCTACTTACAACACGGCAAGCCTTACAAGAAACTCTAAACCAAAATAGAAGTTAAAATGGATATTTTGGTGGGACTTTTTTAAATGTTAATGTTATGCTTCAAATTATTTTCGTAATTTCAAACTTGTCTTTTTTGGGTGAACATCAAGAATAAATGTAAAAATGTAATTTTTTTAAAAATTGATAAACGAACAATCTTCTATTTTAAAATGTATTGTTTAACGCAATTAAAATGCCAATTTTTTTTAGAAATTCCGTTGCTGTCCCATTAAATAACATATTCACTTACCTACTTCTCTTAATCAATGAATCAATGTTCTTTTTTTATGAACATCGAAAAAAAGTACAAACTTAATAGCATCAAAAGAAAAATATAAGATAAAAGCCATTAAGTGCGTGCAACATTCCTCTTATGTACTGGAGTATCTACAACGCGCTTTGCAGATGTCGCCCCGATGTTATTTTTATTGTATTTGGTGTCACTGCTTGACCAGCTCATTCTCTAAAGTCAAACCGGAATATATATAAAAAAATAATAAAATCAGAAATCTCTAGTTTTATCGTATATATTTTTGCCGTTTTATACGAGGTTTGCACGAAAAGAAATAAAACTTTTTCAATATTCAATGTAATGTAATAAAAATCTTACCTTGTTTGACCGACACGAATCTAGCGTTCAAGGCTGCTACAAAACTGGCTTGCGGCAGCGAATCTTCGAGCGAGAACAGCTCATCTTTAGTGACTGTGTTAGAACGAGTTTTCAAAACAGCCTTAGAACCAATAGGGCTCAAGTACTGTCCGTTACGATCCCTAAGAGCTAGCTGACCACTGTGGTATTCGGCTGTGAATAGACAGTCTTTAGAGCAGGTATCCACTAATTTTCCTGCAAATAAGACATGTTAAAGCTTTTTCACAAAAAAGGTGATAGGTAATAGCACGTTTATCAAATTATAGGTCCATATCCTTGATAAGTAATGTTTGCAAAGTCTTTGAAAATATTATTAAAAGTAGACTAGAATCCTTTTTAAATAAAATAAGATATTTTTTTTAATCTCAGCTTGGGTTTAAGACGCAATATTATCATTGACCTCTGATTACAGAAACAGAGAGACAACAACCATAGATACAACCTCAGATAAACAAGATACAACACAGTGCTAAAGTGTTAGTAAGGAACCCTCTGTCACCTTTGTAAAGGGTGATACAGACAAAACAGATGTAAATTAAAGGAAATATAATATTATACTATGCGCAAAATAGATATGGGTTACTACTTACCATTCATTGAAAGATATTTATTATTGCACGTATGGATTGCGTATTTTCCGGACTCGTCTAACCTGAATTCTAACGTGAACAGAGTGTCTTCTCCCCAGGGAACGTTGGCGTCTACGTAGATTTCGTCCAGGTTCTCCGATAAGTGGGCGAAACGTTTTCTACCCACCGATCTGAGATTCATTTGGGGTCTGGCGGCTAAATGGACGTTCCAAAATTCGGCGTCGCTAGGCACTTTCGCCGTACAGGTTAGTTTGTCCGCGGACGATCCCAAAAAGTAGCTGAAGAGAAAAAGAAGAAAAATTTATGTTATAATAGGTTTGTTACAATAGCCTACTCTACTTCTAGCCATAAACAAACCAAGGCAATACCGCAGCGAGTAAAAGCATCCAGTCTACTCTAAGTGAGGTGAAATAGTTAAACACTTGTTCCATATACAGGGTGATTCAGATTTAAACGGACACAGCTTAATGAGAGGTAGAGTACACTTAGCTGAGTTCAAAACACCCCCATACTTAACCTTTCATCTTACTCGTTCCTGAGATATTTTTTTTTAATAAATGTTACTGCACATTTAAATAGTACGTGGATCAATAAATAAAATAATGTAATAATATTTAATGGCACCATCTTGATTTTCTTACAGTAAATTTTTATAATGGCGAATACAATATTATAAATCAGTATTTACAATATTAAAATCAAATATTTTACTCTGTACTTTTAAAATTCTACACAAATTAGGTACATCTTCATTTTTTTTTAACTACAGCATTTTCCATTAGGAAATTGAGCATCTACACAGGACCGGGTTCACTTTATTTAATAAAGTAACAGAAACAAATAATTAAATAAAACTAAAGTAGATTTTCAAAATAAACACCGTGAACGTCAATACACCTCTGCGAACGTTTTAACAACTTTTTCACTGATTTGTCAATTATTTCCGGTTTATTGCTAATGTTGTTACATACATTAATAATTTTTTCTTATAACTATGCTTGGGTATTAAGTGATTTTTTATAAATTCCAAACGAAACATTTTATGTGTGTTTAAGTCGCTGTACTTTTTGTACATAAAATAGATACAAATTTTATTTTTTTAAAGTTCTCCATACACTTGTATCTGGTACCTAGGTACTGCTTATTTATTACTAATTCTTACACTAACAGGAAGAGGATTTCGAACCACCTCATTCATTCCTCTTTTCACGTTCATCTTTAGGTTTTGGAAATTAAAATGAACTAAAACTTAAACGAACTAAAACTCTGATGAAATCAAATTTAAAAGTTAAAAAAAACTAGGTATTTTATAAACCAGCTGAAAACTCAATTTAGTCAACTGCCAATATGCGCCAAATTACACCATCACTCATTCCGTTCTAAACATGATTAATGTAAAATTGTATAATACCATTTATTTTATGTACAGTATTTCGAGCTAAATTACCTTTGCTCATAAGTGTAAGTTTCTAATGGTATGAAAATAAGTATTTTAGGATGTCGTTTCAATTTAGTAGTGAAGAATATGCAGACATTATTTTTGTGTTCTGTTGTTGTAACGGAGACAGTAGAGCAGCAGTAAGACGCTTTCCTAATCGCCGTTTACCAAATTCTAAACATTTTACAGGTTTTCGAATTCAGTAAGCAACGTGGAAAGTTTCTAACTACAGGTCAATAAGAACACGCTCCGGGAAATAATCTTCGACAAGAGGATATACTACAGATAGCTCGAAATAATCCTTCTATCAGTGTAAGAAGAATTAGTAATGAATTAGCAGTACCGATAACAAGAGTATGAAAAACTTTAAAAAAAGAAAATTTGCATCCATTTCATATACAAAAAGTACAGCGACTTGAATACGGAGACGACGTACCCCGCTTATCTTTTTGTAGATGGATTTTGGCCCACAGAAGGACAATATCGAAAATTTTATTTACTGATGAATCCCAATTTACACGTGATGGGATCAATAACACTAGGACTGGTCATAGTTGGGCAATAGAAAATCCTCGCACTGTATCACAAAAACATTCCCAATTTAGATTTTCTATAAATTAATGTATGGTGTGGTATTTATAAAAATCATTTAATATGTCCTCGTGTTTTTGAAGGTAGATTAACAGTTGAAGTATATTTAAATGTCCTTAGAGACATCCTGCCAAATTTGTTGGAAGAGATTAATACCAGAGGAATGTGGTTTCAACACGATGGTACTGGACCTAATTTTCTAATACTGATCAGAGATCATTTAAATCATCGTTTCCCAAATAGATAGATAGGTCAAGGTGGTCCCGTCAATTGCCCACCAAGTTCTCCAGATGTAACACCTCTGTATTATTTTTTATAGGGCTACCTTAAATCAGAGATGTACAACGAAGAAATGAATACCCGAGCACAGTTATTGGAAAAAATTAATAATGTATGTAACAATATTAGCAATAAACCGGAAATAATTGACAAATCAGTGAAAAACCTGTTAAAACGTTCGCAGAGGTGTATTGACGTTCACGGTGTTCATTTTGAAAATCCACTTTAGTTTTAATTAATTATTTGTTTCTGTTAGTTTGTTTTGATACTTTATCAAATAAAGTGAGCCCGGTCCTGTGTAGATATTCAATTTCTTATTTGAAAATGCGGTAGATAAAAATAAATAAAGATGGTACCTAATTTGTGTAGAGATTTAATAATACAGAGTAAAATATTTGATTTCAATTTTGTAAATACTGATTTATAATATTGTAGTCGCCATTATAAAAATTAACTGTAATAAAATCAAGATGGTGCCATTAAATATTATTACATTATTCTATTTATTGATCCACATACTATTTAAATGTGCATTTACTAAAATCCGATATACAGGGTGATATTCTAGCTAAGAAGAGCAATATAAAAAAAAGTCTCCGGTCCTGGAATTTTTAAAAATTAAATTATGGCTTTGATTAACCTAAGAGTGTAACTTTTTTTAAAAATTTTTATCAAAAAACCTCTAGCCGTTCAAACAAAATGGTCGACTTTAGTTTTGGGATCATAAAATATCATAAAATCATAAAACACCCTATATCTCAGAAACGAGTAAGATTAAAGGCTAAGTTTGGGAGTGTTTTGAACTCAGCTAAGTGTACTCTACCTCCCATTAAGCTGTATCCGTTTAAATCTGAAACATCCCTGTATAAGCCTATACAAACAGATTATTTTTAAATTTTGACTTTGACTTTATCGCCGCGTTGCCAGATTTATCTTTGTTGGGCTAGACAGAAGAGTCTGTAATGGTTCTGCCTATAATTAACGGCTTCAAAAACATTTCTGCTTACCCTCTGACAACGTTTCGTAATGCCCATCTGCCAGTACCGTCTTCGGCCACGCTGATTTGAAATTTGCAACCGGGATCTTTTTCTTCACTCTCGCACGTGACGTTTCCGAAAGAATCCACGGCTAGGTATTTGCCTAGATGTGACCTTAAATAGATTAGACCTGAAAAAAAAATGTGTTAAATAAAAATTCGGAATATAGAGTTATCATAGAAATAGAATAGAAATAACTTCTCTCCCCCTTCCCCTATATTAAATAATAAATATTTAAAATTTTGCATTTTTGCAATTTTATTACATAAAAACGTTTAAAATAATATTAAAACATACTTAAATAATTAATATTCAAACAACGTAGTTATTTAGTTTACATTATTAACCAAACTTTAAGATTCGAATACAATAACGTTTATATTTAGCAAAATTATTAACTTTTAGTTCCATAACAACGTTTAAAAATAATATTAAAATATAATTATACAATTAATATTTAAATAACTTTTATTTTTAGTTTAAAATACAAACAAAACATTAAGCTTCCAATAAAATAACGTTTTCTATGACTTGCATTTAATTTAAACTAACGTCAATATTGAACTTTCAATTTCAACTTTCTGTTAGATAAAAATATAATATTGTATGTACTAAAATATAGTTAATCAATCGATATTAAAATAACGTTTATTTTTATTTTAAAATATAAACCAAACGTTAATGTTTTCCGATACAATAACGTTTTTATTACGAGTTTTATCTAATTTAAAGTAACGGTTATATTATTAAAATATTTAACAAAATTTTCAACTTTCGGTAGAACTACAATTACATAAAAACGTTTAAATCATATTTATATTAAAATGTAATTAAATAAATAATATTGAAATAACGTTGTTATTTAGTTTACATTATTAACTAACCGTTAAAATGGTTTCAATACAAAAACGTTTTCAATACGACTTATATTTAATTTAAACTAACGTTAATATTTTACGTTTAGAAATAATATTAAAATAGAGTTAACTAATTATTAAAAAAAAAATACCGTTTATTTTAAATTTTTCTGATACAATAACCTTTCTATTACAACTTTTAAGTAATTTAAACTAACGTTAATATTAAACGTATATTTTAAAAAATTTCAACTCTGGGTAGAACAACAATTATTATATAACAACGTTTAAAAATATTAAAATATTGTTACACAGGTTTTTGGTATCACAATTTATTTCAACTGAACTTTAACAATAACAATGCAACTGATAATAGTAACGTGTAACGTCTATCATAATACTGAACTCTGACGTCAGGTCGTCGACTTAGATAGCTTGTCTCGACCTTCATATTCCTGGGATGCAATCAGTTTCTCCTTCAGCGTCTTGTGTGATGTTGTAGACGAAGGACTTGCTGCATTTCCGCATCTTGTAGTCCATCAATGAATGCCTCTATTCCGATTTGTTCTTGGAAATCTTTGGGCGCCTGTGGATAGGCCAGATGAATCAATCTTCTTATGTCAGCCCTGAATTCCTGTAGACTCTCATTATGTTTCTAACTACGAATCTTTAGCTGACTTTGAAATACCCGTTTCAAATGCTGCTGGCCATATCTTGTCTCCAAAGCTTGGACGAGAGATGAATAACTGGGTTCTTCTTGAGGGAGTAACGGTAAAACGGTTGCTGCTTGTCCTCGCAGCGACACTATCAATGCAGCCGCCTTCTCCTTTTCAGCCCAGCCATTGGCTCTAACTGCAGCTTCAAATTGGAGGCGATACGTTTGCCATGTTGTCTGATCGTCAAACGTGGGGGGCTTAATGATCTTGCTAGCATGGATTTGTGAAACTAGATATTGAATATGGCTTGGTTCGATTACAGATGAGGACGAGGTAGTTGCTTATCGAAGCTAGGCTACGAATTCTTCTTTCTAACTCAACTAGTTCAGTTCTAATTTGGCTTTCGAACTCTACTCTAGCTTTTTTCTGTTGTTTTAAATTAGTTTTTAAATGCTCTAGCTGCTGTTCTAAATTAGTTTTTAAATGATCTTGTTGTTGTTCTAAAATATCTACTCTAATTTTGAGTTAACCAATCTCTTGCTTAAAGGTTTCCTGGATGTTCAGCAAAGCATTCAAAATTTCTACCTGAGCTTTTTTATGTCTCTCTTCCTTCTCTTTTTCCTCGTCCTTCCTGTGTCTTTCCTTCTCCTCTTCTCGCCTTTCCTTTTCCTTCTCTTCTTCCTTTCTTCGCATTTCCTTTTCTTCTTCTCGCCTTACTCTCTCCTCCTCTTTTTCCTTCCTACGCCGCTCCTTTTCCTCCCCTTCTTCCTTCCTACGCCGTTCCTTTTCCTCCACTTCTTCCTTCCTACGCCTTTCTTTTTCGTCTTCTATCTTCAAAAACCATGCTGGTGGGCTTGAAGTGTCCATGCCTGCTTCGTACTCAGTAAATCTAGTATTTACCATGAACTTTTACTTTATATCCCACCACTGTCACCAATGTTATACAGGTTTTTGGTATCACAATTTATTTCAACTGAATTTTAACAATAACAATGCAACTGATAACATTAACGTGTAACGTCTATCATAAAACTGAACTCTGACGTCAGGGCGTCGACTTATATAGCTTGCCTCGACCTTCTAGAACCTTCTCGAACAATCCGGACTTTTCTTTGACAAGGAATGACATTTCGAGACATTTCTGGATTATTCTATCTTCTTTATTTACTCGTACCTTTACTTATGACGATCCCAGCACGCTACAGGGTGCTGCGTAACAATATACTTGAATAATATTAAATTTAAAATAACGTAGATATTTGGTTTAAATTGTTAACCAAACCATAGAATAACCTACCTATTACAGAAGCAAAGGATAGCTAATTTTTAAGGTCCAAAATTTTTTGCGCATAATCAGGTCCGCCATTTTATGACCGGCAAAACTGTCATGTCACATAAGAGTATTAGGCATTCCAAACAAATGAATTACCAGTGGGCAGGTTTGGTATATCTAAGGGTGGCGACATATGGTGTATTCTATCTACTTTACGTAAAATCATGAATAATGGATTACATTTAAATATTTTATGTCAAACACAATAAAAATAATATTTAAAAAACCCACCTATACATTTCTGCATAAATTGGCAGGCTTGGCGAGTACTACTTCGAATAAAAATAGCGCCCAAGTTGCAAGACTATGTCGCTACCCCCTTAAATATACAAGAATTTCCCACTGGCACCTATTGTTTGACAGGTCATTGGAATGCCTAATTAGGCATTCCAAACAAATGAATTGCCAGTGGGAAGGTTTGGTATATCTAAGGGTGGCGACATACGGTGTATTCTATCTACTTTACATAAAATCATGAATAATGGAGTACATTTAAATATTTTATGTCAAACACAATAAAAATAATATTTAAAAAACCTACCTATACATTTCTTCATAAATTGGCAGGCTTGGCGACTACTACTTCGAATAAAAATAGCGTCCAAGTTGCAAGACTATGTCGCTACCCCCCTTAGATATACAAGAATTTCCCACTGGCACATAATGTTTGACAGGTCGTTGGAATGCCTAATTGTTTTGTGGTATGTGCTGAGCTATTTACTTTTTTTATTTATTTTATTAAAGCAAAATAATTTTTTAGTGAACTGATGAAATCTAAAAGAAAGAGTTGTATTTATCGCCCATGTCTACCTCGAACGAATTCGAATAATACCAAAAGTTCCAGAAAGGTATGCAAAATTAATTATGCAATTTAAATGGGGAAAACTGATAGTTCTACCCAAAAAATTATTTAAATTTTGATCCATATATCTAAATTTACCAACAATATGTGCTACGTTTGAAAAGTACCTCCTGAAGCAGAGTAGAGCTAGTAGATTTTTAAATCACGTGATAATCTAGCTTATGTGTAATAAAAGAACGGCTATAGATTTGTTGTTTGTGTTTCCCCTTTCCGGTTTCCATTAAAATAAGCTTAAACCTTTCTGTTAAATCAAATTTGATTTTTCGTCTCCTGGTTTTTGTTGCAAGTTGCAAAATAAACTTCATTTTTAACTGTGATATTTTTCGCTATTTCTATAAATATTTTTTGCTGTTAATAACCAGTATGTAAATAAGATAAAAAAATAAACTGTGGCACAAGAGACAACGGACAACTGTCTGTACATCTCACAAGTACATCTACAACTTTAAATTCAGTTGCTTTTTTCCAGTGAACTATATAGTTAAAAACAGTTCTCTGTTTTGTTATTTGTCAATTGTCACATAAATTACATTTACTCCGCAAGCTCTAAAATTTAATTTGATGGAAATAGATCTTACTTGACTTACCAGCTCCGCATTAAAAGACCACGGAGAAGATCTCATCGAGAAGCCACAGATGTATTAAAAGAACGGCTTCGAGTAAAATGAGTAAAACGAGGTACTTTTCAAACGCAACAAGGTTAACTGTATATTATTTTTTTAGCTATTTAATCAAAACAATTATTTTATTATCATTATTAAATCAATTTATTTTTATGTACCTATGACAATGTATTTTGTAGTTTTTGTTTTTATTTCGATAAGGCATGTGCCAGTCCCAAAAATATCCTTCGGTTGGGCCACAATTTTTAAACCAACCATTTGCAGATATAGTTAAATCTCAAGCGGAATTTAAAAACAAAAAGCCTCTAGCTAGATGACATTCCAATGAATACAAGCAGTTTGCGCTTACCTTGTATTTTTTAGGACCTAGGGTATATTCCTTTGTCTAAAATTTTGTGCCTTTTGTGTGTATTTTTCATATTGAAATTTTTATTAATTTGATTTTTGTAATACGTGTGTTTCGTAATTTGGATTAATTAAAATTAATAGTCAGTATGGGTACGTGTTTTATTTATAACAACCTTTTTCCTACAGTACTTTTCTTCAAATCTCAATTTAATTGAAAGTTCTAATAATTATGCATCTAAAAATTCAAATTTATGTGTACAACAAATTCATATGATTTATAAACATATATAAGTTTTCCAAAATAAAGTCCAAAGATGCATCGTTGATGCACCCTGGTTCTAACTAAACAATTATATTCATGCAGAAGATGCCAACAGTCAAAGAAGAAATAAAGAGGTTACTGCAAAACATGAGGATGGACTCCATTCCCACGTCAATGAAGAAGTGCTGTAGTTACTGGACAACTCTACACTCAACAGAAGATTCGAAAGAAAGAAAGAAAGAAAAGCCATTTAAGCTAGTGCAGTGAACGTTAGTTCTAGTCTAACACAGTGTAATAAATCATTACGCCAATTATTGGTGATGCTTTTCTATCAACGACGAACAACTACTAGATTAATTTTGTTTACAAAAATTGAATTGCAAACATTCACGGATTTATCTTCGAGCATTATGCGAAAGTCTTATTACATGGATTGTTTATGGTATTATTGGCATATCATAAGGCTCTAAAACACATAAAAGGCTTTGAAAACTACAGTTGGGCAGTATATTTGCATTCTTAATGCCAATTATTATCAGTTTAATCTATTTTTCTAGATCCAACTATCAAAGTTGAAGGTGTTTTCCAGGAAAGTACACAATTAATTAATACATTAATAAATTGTAATAGAATCACTCTGTTAAAGAGTTAATAATACCTAAAAAAAACTGGTTCCTCAAGTAAAAACCCTTTTTAGTTTAGCGATCAGTACAAAATAAATTATTGTGAAGCCTTATTTTTCTAATTATATTACTAACCTTCAATTAAGAGAAGAAATGTTGCTAAATAAGTTTGTTACAGATATTTAAATCCTTTTCTCAGTGTATTATTCGAATTTATACGAATCTTGTTCATTTTTACCAGTGTAACAACCGGCAAAAACGTCAACTGTCAGCGAGTGTCTCTTTAAATTTTGACCACCCCGACATAAAAGTGCCGACGCAAGCCTTCGCTTCTGTAATAGGTAGGTTATTCTGTGACCAAACGCTAAAAGGTACGAATACAATAAAGTTTTCTATACCACACGTATTTAGTTCAAGCTAACATTAATATGATACGTATATTTAATAACATTATAAACTTTTAGTTACATAAAAAAGTTTAAAAATAATATTAAAATATAGTTAAATGATTAATATACAATTAACGTATATTTTGAGTTCAAAATATAAACTAAACGTTAAAATATATCGATATAACAACGTTTTCAATACGATTGATAAGCAATTATATTTTTATAATAAATAATAAACGTTAATAATTATGAACGAGAAAATAACATTATAAAAAACGTATCATTTTATCAAATTTTCAACATTCGGTCGAAAATAGCTAGAAAATAGTATTTTATGTACGTATAATTTTTCAACTAACATTTCAACGTTTAATGTTTAACCAATAACGTCTTTTTATACAATACAACGTTATATTTACGTTGAAAAAATGAGTGTGTACTTATTGGGTATTATAAAGTTTTACTCACTATCTCCAGTTCCTGTGGTATCAGGTTCCAGAGTCCATATTTGTTTCTTCTTTAATGAGGTACCGTTGCCGTTGATTTTGAATCCAAACGACTCTGCTGTTAAATAACGAAATTTGGAGTTGATCAAACCGATAGTCCAACATCCTTTTTGTTGATTTTGTGTGATTATATCACCGCAACCGTTCAGCTCTCCGTTGGTGTGGTGTTCGACTCCGTTCATTTTTGGTTATGCAGAATTCTGCAACAAAAAAAAATACAAATATTACCCGTTTACTTTTTATTTTAAATCTCGTTGAGTTTCCGGATCAAAAAAAACACAATAACAAAATTGTGTTTTGCTACTTTAATTATTGTCTGAGGGGAATGCACATAAAAATGTAGAGGGGAAAGAGGAAAATGGATACCCTGCAAAAAAAATAAAATGTTTATCATAGTGTAAACGCACATTATTAAAATTTTATGATATAGGTATATTTAATTGTGATTATTCATTAACAATTTTTATGCGAATTATAAAGTTTTTTTGAACAATGGTAAATCCTTTTTAAAGTAATGTAGTGTAGTGTAATGTACATTTAATTTTTTTTAATCTAGAATAAGACAATATCTTATAATAACTTATTATCAATATTGTCCAAAAATGCGAAATGGCAAAATTGCTTTCGAATTATTTTGTGCGTGTGTTATGATATGGGCCGGTGTTTTGACAGTGCAGTGATATAGATAATAATCATATAGATTGATCATCCATGTTTTTCAAAATAAACATACATACATATGCCTTGAAGTAAAAATATAGGTATTCTTTTTTTACTATATTTAAAGGCTGAAAATTGGTTTCAAAACACATTTTTGTTAAACCGATTCTGATGCACTTGCGGGGCAATATGGCCGCTCGCTGTTTAACTTAAATTAGAGTGTTCAGATAAATATGTGAGATCGGTTTCTACAGTGAACATTTTAAATCACAGAATGTGTTGAAAGAAAACAAACACCAGAGACAAAGTGTTTCCTGCATTGTTTATTTTTAGGTTGTGGATTTAGACGTCGCTAAAAGCATTATTTGTTTTATATAGTGGCGGTACCTATCTACTTCGTAAGGGCTGTGATAGTGTGGCGCCCTTTTTCTAAACAATTATAATAAAAGACTTCTATACAAGGAACATGTAACGAACCTAACAAAATAAAATTAACCCTAGTGACATAAGAAATCGGGTAACATAAAAAGGATGTTTTTTGGTTTACATTTTGATTTTTCCTATGTACTTTTATGCCGTTTTCATACCATGTTGTAGCCGAATTTTTTTCATTTATAGTATTTTACATTTAAAGGTTGAAAACATTTGTCAATGTCAGTTGTCTGTTGGTAGGATACAATCGTAACTATTAGGCATTCCAACGACCTGTCCAAATGGCTACCAGTGGGTAATGACAGTTTAGATATGGCAACCCTGTTGTCATGTTGTCATTAACAGGGTCAATGATACATATATAGTTATATAGATTGCTCAAAGCTGGTCGTTTACGAGCGGCCATATTGCCTGGCAAATATTTATTAATTTGAATCGGTTTAGCAAAAATGTGTTTTAAAACCAATTTTTAGCCTTTAGATATTTAAAAAAAAATAATTGCTTACATTTTTACTTCAAGGCATACGCTTATGTTTATTTTGAAAAATATGGATAATCAATCTATGTAACTATCTATTTCATTGACCTTGTCAAATCACCAGGTCTACAGGGTTGCCATAATTTTGCAATATCATAACCCGTCAAAACCCACTGGTAGGCATTCAGTTTGGAATGCCCAATAGGTGGGCTTAACGTAACTAGCATTTTCTATGGTTTTATGCTATATGAAACTTGTACTTGTAGATGCAGCATTTTGTATTTGACATAAATAGATTAAACCAAATCAAAAGTTTAAACAAAGCGGAAGAAAAATATTGCAGACACAAATATACTAATAATAAAATAATAAAACAAAATGTTACGCTTATGGTTTGATATTATCGATAGCTCATATTGACTTTACGTTACAGGTGCAACATGGTATGTAAACAACATAAAAGTATATAAGAAAAATCGAAACGTAAACAAAATATATTCGTGAAGTATTTGTTTACGTCAATATGACGGATGATATTGACATTTGACATCGTTGTCATGGTAACTTGTTTTGTGTGGAAACAAGTACGTGTTACCAACTTTATTTTGACTGTTTATTAAAAAAAAATCAGAAAATTTAAAACGTTAAAATCCGTGTAAATTTTTTATTTTATTTTTTACTTCCACCAAACCAAGTAGGTATATTTGAAACCGTTTCAAAGTCTTATTTGAACTAATTAATTTGAAAAGAAGCTGACCTCTGTAGGTAGCATCAGAATCCAAAAAGTAATAGCTTATTATTTCTTTATAATGTGCACCTTAATTACTTCTCTGTATCAGTCAGCAATTAATGAAATTTTACAACCGTGAAAGGCAACACGCTGTGACCATTGTTAGTAAATAATATCCGTTGAACACATTCTTAAATTGTACAGTTATATATTCGGTTGTTCTCTTATCAGAGCTTTTCCGTCTACAGATTCTAAATTAGTCAATTATTAATTATTTTTACACACACATAGGTACTAAGGATAGAACAAATTTTTTAGAGGAGTACCAAGAATTATGTCTACAGTACTCACATGTAAACAAATCATTTGTAGAACCGGTAATTTTTACGTTTAGTGTTTTCCTGTCTTCAAACATTTTACAGATTTAAATGTACATTTTATAAATAAATATATTTAATATTTTTTATTATTAATTAAAATTATTGTATGATGTGTGACCTGCCTGAGCCAGGTACCTTTGCAATTTATTAATTTCATTTATTAAAAAGTTGCATTATTAAATTTAAATTCCTTCATGTTTACAAAAATATTTTAAATAATTAAATCATATCTATGAATGCCAAATAAATAAAACCAAGATTTCAAGATTTCTGTTCGCGGGGTCTGTCTCAAAGATATCGGATAGAATAGATACGCCTTGTACAAATTGAATTTGGCCGCAACATCTTTCTGGCAGTACACTCTTCCTATGTTGTCAGATCACTTCCATCAAATATCCTGCATTAAATTTTTATTAAAAAATTTACTATCCCCACTAATATAATCTGTTAAAAAAAGAAAATAAAGAATTGAAAGCATCAATATGAGTTTTTTATTAATTACAATCACTTAAGATTTTTATTTATCGTATTTAGATATTAAACATTCTGCTTCATAACCTTTAAGTTTGGCAACCTAAGACTTTTTGGTGACAGCGGCAAGTGACAGCTTAATTTTTTTTATAGTGCTTTTTGTAGTTATTTGAGATTTTCGAGAATAATTTGAAAATTGAACTGTTTAATAAGGACATTTAGGATGGCGAGGAAATGTGTAGTGTGCCAAATTATTTGTAATAAGAATGTTATGCGATCATTTCTTAGGTAAGGTTTTGTTAGCATAGACGGAGGCATATATAGGGAATAAGGTTTGATTTATTTAACATTGTAAAATCATGTATAAAATTGTCGCTGATACCTGTCCTAAAAGTGTTGTCATTGCGTTATGCAGAAAACTAAAGTAGGTATGACGTGCAATCCAAAGGGTATTTTTTGGTAAGATCCTTTTATATTTATGTCTGAAATAAAGTTGGAAGTTGAAATGGACGAAATAGCATAACATAAAAGATAAGATTAATAAGTCTTTTTCCTCCTCTTGGATTGAAACCTTGTCGTTTTTAAATAGAGGAATTCCCGAAGAATTTTTTCTATTAGCCTCTTTAACTGAGAGTTCATTAAAATAATATAGCCAATCCTTTAGAAAATCTGACATTAGAAATTTTAAGTTACAAACTTAGTTACTTTAATGGCATTAATTTCTGCCCATAGAATGCAGACTATATCAAAGATTTTGTTAGGAAACATTGATAAAAAGGGGGATGAAGACAGAAATACGTATATGATAAAAATTAATACATCTTTACTGAAATTTCCAGAATTTAAAGTGTGGTAAAAACAACATACTATTTGGAAACAACCAGTAAACTCAGACCACAAACAAAAGATAAACTATTTTTACTTTCCTATCTGTTTTGGGGTCCCCTGAATCCGTTTTGACTATTTTTGCGTTGATGTCTGTGTGTGTGCGCGCGTTTGTGCGTGTGTGTGAGTGTGTCCTCGATAACTCATGAACGGATACAAAGAAAAACACCAAATTTTAAACTTAAGCTTTATTCCGGCCTCCAGTGAACTGATTAGATTTTGGACAAAGTCTGAACATCTGGGGGGTACTTTATAGGAGGTCGTTTTTATATTTTATGGAATATATCTGTTATTTATGTTTGGAGAAGAAAATTATTCAAATAAAAGTTACTTCTAATATTATTATCTATAATTTTTGCTTTATGCCAAATTTTCCTGAAATGGTCCGTATTCGAGAAATTTGACAAAATATGCAAAATTCTGATTTTTATGAAAATTGTTAAACTGAAAGTTGTTTGCGATATCGATCTCTATAATTTTTGTTTTTTACATGATTTTTCTAAAATGGACCGTAATGGAAAAATTGGAGGAAAAGTGCTCAATTTAAATTTTTCAGTATTTTTGTTTTCAATGAATATCTATAGAAAAATGTTTCGACTTAGATGAATGTGGAAAATGTAGGTATATATTTAGGTTATCCTCTAAACATTTATAGAGGTGCTGCAACAGGTTGTACAAAATAACCGGAAAAAGCCTATTATAACTAGATAGGAAAGTCATGTGTTGGACACATCAGATTTTTAACGTAGAATAGACACACCATGGGCCTCTTCTGTCGAGATGTAAATATAGACGGTATTCGAGCCACTGTGAGCTGGAATGTTCTCATAAAATTTTACATTAAGCTGTCAAACAACCAAAAATTATTTTGTCACTACATTGGTCTCTAAAAAGTCTATCTAGTCATAAATTGTTACTATTAATTAGTTATTAATTATTATTGCAGTTTTCTCTTTTTTGTTATTTTCGAGAATTATTAAATTTGTTCAGTTATAATGGGTATTAAAGTGAAAAATTAAAATTATTAGATTGCGTACTTTCTCTTGGTACATCCTACAGGGTGTAATAATCATGTAAGACAACAGCGAACAATAATTAACGGATTGATCGACTTAACTGTAAGGATGATTGATCCGAATTATTAGAGCTATCGGTAATGATTGT